ACACACACACACACACACACACACACACACACACACACACACACACACACACACAAATGTGTGTGTGTGTGCAGAGATCTCTAAGAACACAGGCAGTGGTGAGCTGTGCTGCTTTCTCAGAATTCTGCAGTCAAACTTTCCATCGTGGCGCTCAGCGCAGCGCGGTGGTTTCTCTCTCTGATGTTGTCTTGCTGGAGGATGGTGGCTTTTTCGAGCCCTGAGAGCACCCGAATGTGAAACACGGGGTCAGCCCATCACGCCTGGCCTTCCTGCAGCTGTGTGAGCCGTTCTCTGAGGACAGTACTGACTAAAGCAGTTGAGTCATCTCGCTAACATCTGATCTCTGAAGGCTTTATCGAGCTCAGACTTCAGGGTCAAATAACTCCCAGGTGTCTGTGCAGGTAAACCCCGCCCCCACATGTGACTCATCATGCCAGCGGGGTGGGAATCAGGCCGAAGCCGGACTGCTCACTTCTTTGCCAGAGTCCCGCTGACTCCATGCTGAGGACTGGTGTTGGCCCTCATCGGCCTGCAGGCCTGAAGAAATAAGCGAACTCTGCAAAGCCTGCAACTCCTCCGACGTCCGGCAGAGGCAGCAGTGAGTCAGTCCCTCAGACTCCGTGTTCAAATAAATGTGGTTACAGCCTCGTACACAGAATGTCACCTCTTTAAACTCTATTAAGGCTTTGAGTGATTAGGGGCGTGGCCTCTGTGACTGACAGGTGGACGGTGCTAGCCGTCTGCTAGCTTCACCTGAGCTGGACCTCTGCACCGTGTCTGTGCTGCTGGAGCATTTTTATTTAACATCATGTGACTGATAATATGGCTGCTGTGAGGTTACTGTACTAACAGAGCGACCAAGAAGGCGGAGCTCCAGACTCAAGCCGGCACCTGAGCAGGACGCCTCGTGGACGCCTTCAGGTGTTTCAGGTATGCAGAGGAGAGGAGGAGGACTGGGGCACACCTGGTTTGGGAAGTTGGAGGTTGGAGGCAGATGTCTGAGGTCTCCTCTGCTGCCTCCAAACACCTGTGTACAGTTACAGTCGATCTTTAAATTACATTTCAGTATAAACGTCTGACACGGAAAGCTTTTAACCTGGACTCTCACTGAGTCCACTGAGTCTGGAGCTGCTTCAGCCCATTGGACAGGATGTCAGGGTAAAGGTGAGCTGTCAATCATCCAGCCTGTGCATGTGCTTTTCTTCTGTGGTGTGAAGCTTCTTTAAAGGCGGCGGTCAGCTTCCTGTCAGGCTGAAGACCGCTGGTGTTTGTCAGCAGCTCAGCTGGAGGCCCGAGTGCAGCTACAGGAAGTGCTCACAGGAGGGTTCTCCCCTAATCTTCATATCACACACACACACACACACACACACACACACACACACACACACAACATGCAGGGGAATAACCCAACACTCCCTCGTTAACACTCGACTGCTTTCACACAATACGAAGCAGCAGCACCGGCTTTGTGTCTTTGCGTGTGTGTGTGTGTTTGTGTGTGTTTGCGTGTGTGTCTAGACCACAGGTCTGAGTCATGTGACGCTGATGTTGGAGAGCGTTGATGTCCACAGTGACCAGTTTGCCTACACGAGTCATGGCAGACTGATCAAACGTTGGGCTGATTGTCACTGAGTGATCAGCTGCTGGTTTCTGTCTGTATGTGTTACTGAGGCTGTGTAAATGAAGCTGAATGAAAGTACACACTGTTCTGATCTGTCCAAAAACAAATACGACAAATGAAGTGTTTCCTGTTTGTCTTTTTTCCCAGGATGCTTTTGTGGAGCTGTATGAGTCCAGACCCACCGACAGCTTCTGGTCCCTGAGGACAGTGTGTGGACTGGTCGTACTGGGAGCAGTTGGGGTCATACTGGGATTTCTATTCAGCCAGAAACAAAACTGATGGGAGGTGTTATTTGGTCCAGCCATGGAGCTGCAGTTCCTGTGGTGTCCACCAGCTGCTGCTGTGCTCCACACTGAGACTCTGAAGGACACTGACTTTGTGTGGGTGGATTTTTATGGGGACGTAAATTTCACCACCAAAATTCTCTGAGTGTTACTTTTAAGGCTTTGTTGGCTGTTTAAACTTTGAGTTTCTCATGGTCACAATAACATTCAGCCAAAGGACTCCAGGAAGACCGACCTCCAGCTGACTGTAAATAAGGCATTCTCTCACTTTTTTACTCTGGAAGTTTCCTTCCAGCCTTTATGTTAATCTGAGCAAAAGACATCCTGGACCTGCATCAGACTAAGCTGGCCTGAAATGATGAAGCAAAGCATTTAAGGAGGATTCACAGGAACAGCCCAGTGAACGGACAGGAAGCCAGCAGCTGTCAGAGGCACTAACAGCTGCACAGCACCAGAAGAAGCTCCAGCAGGACTGTGAGCCAACGGCAGCGCCTGATTGGATCAGCTTCAGATCAGGTGACTGAGATCCAGCTCGACCAACATCGAAGAAATGTTTATGTGGTACATGAAGCTGATGAATATCTCATTATTGAAGTCTGGTTTGGGACGCAGTTTGGTGCTTATGTTAGCACCAGTGAGGATGATGATGATGGTGACGAGGAGGAGGAGGAGCCAAACCTTTGAAGAAACTAAGGAACCATGTAAAAAGATTTAAATGTAGCAGAAATGCTGAAACCGTCTATAAGGATGTGCTGTGCCTCAGACTGTGTGAAACAGAGACCCATGTTCATTTCCTGTTTGCTCTGCCTTTCAAAGTAAAGGTTCTACTTAAACAGACTGCTTATTAAATCATTGTTGTATTAAATGTAGTCTGAGAGTTTTTATTACCATGAAGTAAACAGAAGTGAAAACCAAAACTCAGTGTTAAAACTGTTAAAAAAAATATAACAGAGCTCACTCACTGTGTGTTAATACGCCTCTCTGTAATAGGTGTAGGCTGCTGGGGGATTCCCATGATGCACTGGGTGTCTTTATCCTGTCTTCTTTCTCTCACCCCAACCAATCACAGCAGATAGCCCCGCCCCTCCCTGAGCCTGGTTCTGCCGGAGGTTTCTTCCTGTTAAACAGAGTTTTTCCTTCCCACTGTCGCCAAAGTGCTGCTCATAGGGGGTCATATGATTGTTGGGTTTTTCTCTGTATGTATTATTGTAGGTCAACCATACATTGTTGAGGCTGTTTAAATAAGGCTGAGTTCAGATTCGTCTGTTGGAGGCTTTGTTTCCTCAGCTCGTTTCACTCCAGGAGCTTCGCTCATAAAACAGAGCAGCGCTTTGAGCTTTAGAAAAGTTTTCCTTTGATGTGGAAGTCTGAATTTCAGGTCCGGAATGTTCCGGCCGTCTTGGTCTGAGCTGTGGAGCTGAGGCCTCTCAGGAGAAGTGAGGACATCCATGTTTTTGTGGTCGATAATGTTCAGTTACACTGAGAATGTAAATGTTGATGAATCTGTTTGAATTGTTTTGAATTCAGATTCAAACTGAAACAAGTGGTCCGGCTCGAAGCTCGAGTTGTTTTCCAGATGAAGGTGCTCTAATTCCTGATGAACTGAAGACCTTTGGAGGACTTTCCCTGTCAGATATGTGGATGCAGGACCCAAACACAGAACTCTTAGAATGAAAACAGTGTTTGTTTACAGTGCAGAAAGTCTTCTGAGCGTGCTCCAGGTGAGGATGTATGTCCCTGACACCTGTGCAGCGTCTTCCTGTTGTGTCGGTGGTCCATGTTTCACTCCCCTTGCTCAGTATCTACAGTGTGCTCACTCCGTTCCCTCGTCTCCATAATCCTGCAGGAAACCACAGAAGCAGTCGTTAGGATTCCGACCAGCGACCACACAAACACTTTGTAAGACTTAGTTTTCAGAGCAAACTGACGATTCTGTCACAGTGAAACAGCGTCGACGGAGCTCAGCCACGTTGCTAAGAAGCTCCGGAGGTGAGGCTGAACTGCTGCAGGTGTGTGATTGTGCTTCAAGCGAATCCCCACGGCAGGGACACCACTGTCCGGGCCTGGACTCACAGAGAAACCAGAACACCAAAAAACACGCACACACACAAACGAGGAAACATGGACCATGGGAACACACGACCATGGCAGATCACCCGGCGAGGACTGCGGACCGTGACATTCCTGTTCCCCAGCCTCGTGTTTTCCACCAGAGTTTGTACAAAGTAGAGACAGGACATGATGAGAAACAATGTGCTGACAGAATCACACGGCTGACAAATGAAAACTAAACTGAGAAAGAGCCATTAGCGAGGCAGACAACCTGAGTGGTAGGAGGAGGTGCCCAAACCTCTGGAACAGCTGCTGATCAGCTGACCTAAGCACTCACAGCTGCAGCATCTCTCACAGCTGCTTAGGAGAAAACCCACGTGACCATTTATGGTCCTGGTATAATGTGCTGGTCACAGAGCGCTGCAGCACGAATCACCTTCTGATGGTTGTCGGTCTGACTCTAGCTAACAGTGAAGCTTTGAGCACAGATGTAATCTAACATCATCACAGATGGACCAGAGGTCTCACCTGAAGTTCACTGTATGAAGCCAGAGGCCACAGAGAGGCAGTCACACCTGTGAGATGGGCTGCCTGGCAGCATCCAGGTGATTCCCACTGAAGGTGACGGGAGTTTTCATGGATGATGAAACTGCAGAAGATCCACTGAGCTGGACTAACTCCTCATTATCATCTACAGGTTCAGCTTGATCAGAGCTGTATCTTTGAGACAACACTGCCACCATCAGGCCAGACTGGGAATTACAACAGTGTTTAATCAGCTGAGACAGAAACACACTGGTTATGTTTTAACAGCAGCACCCTGCTGAGCTGACAGTGTAAGTCAGGGGTGGGCAACTCCAGGCCTCGAGGGCCAGTGTCCCTGCAGGTGTTAGATGTCCTTGAACCAACACAGCTGATTTAAATGGCTAAATTAGCTCCTCACCATGTCCTGAAGTTCTCCAGAAGCCTGGTAATGAACTAATCATGTGATTCAGGTGTGTTGACCCAAGATGAGATCTAAAACCTGCAGGACACCGGCCCTCGGGGCCTGGAATTGCCCACCCCTGGTGTAAGCGATGGTTTGGGTATTTAAGGGTTAACGTGCAGGTTTACAGTCCCGAGAAGTGGAATCATCTCAGGTCAAATGTACAGTCCAGAGTTCTGACTTTGTATCGCTGATCTCGCCTGAGGTGGATTTCAGGTGACTTGAGTCAAACGTATGAGTGACTGCAGTCTGGTAGGTTTCTAGAAAAGATGGCAACATGTACATTTAGGAGCTTCATGCAGGCGGTCACCGACACTCTGCTTACCTGTGGCATCTGTACCTGCTGGGTGGACTTTGGTCCCCAAAGGAGGAATCAGTGTTTGATGGGTTTAAGTTTCTGGTTCTGAGTTCTGGTTGCAGCTCATCCTCTGCATCACATCTGAACAGGAGCTTCCTGCTCCGTCCATCCACGAGCCCGACAGGAAACAGATCCCAATGAGCTTCAGCAGCTGCTGTTCTGAACTCAGTTACAGCATCTAATCCTGAACTACACTCTAATGAGTCTATACAATTAAGTTATTGATATAATTAATAATTCAAACACACTGAGCTCACACTGTGGGAGGAGCCGCAGCCCACTGCCAGAGATCCTCAGGTCGCTCCAGCAGGCCAGGGAATCCTTCGATGGTGGCACCAGAGTCAGAAAATGAGTTCATACATCTGTCATTCATAAAAACAGACCCTGCACTCTTTGGCTTTCACCTGATGGGTGGGAACTGTAAGCTTTGGTCAGAGTTTTGGGGCAGTGTTCAGCTGTATCGCCAAAGCAGACGTCTGACCCCGTGTGAACGCTGACCTCAGGTGATCTCAGGTGACCTTAGGTGACCTCAGGGTGCATGATGTCATCCTCAGCCCAAGAACACCTGACTTTACATTTATCTATTCAATTTCAATTCAATTCAATTCAATTTTATTTATATAGCGCCAAATCACAACAAAAGTCGCCTCAAGGCGCTTCATAGATACAGAGAAAAACCCAACAATCATATGAC